AAAAAATCCTCAAATAAGACTAAAGTAATATTTATTCTTTTTTTATCGTTTTCCATTCAGTCTTTCAGCAGACGTTCGGATAAGGAGCTCGACATTCCATCCTATTTAAATCAGAGTGATCCTGGGTCATTTACCAAAACTGCTGCAGTCTCCACTGTCCCCCGGACCAAAAAACAAATAAATGCGAATTCGAACCTTAGCTGTAAGCTTTTTATTGTCGCCATAGGAATTTTTTTGCATGTGATTGATTTGACCCTGTAATTTATTCCCCCAATTTCATTAGTGCGAAGTTCTCGAAAACTGGGGTCAACTAGTTACCTCGGTACCAGGCGTTTTTTCAGGACTCCTGTTATTTTGGACAGTCACTCTTCTATCACTTCGACTATCTCAAAAGTAGGCAAAACCTCACCCTATCCTGAAAGCCCGATAATTCGCTCTGCATTCGGCACAAAAAAATCTTTAAATATAGCAGAAGTAAGTTATTTTTTATCTTACCTGCCTTCTATTCAGTCTTTGAGCAGATGTTCAGGCAAGAAGTTGGTCAATCATCCCTCTTTCTCTTTTAATGAGGACGAATTGGGGTCCAATAGCGGAACTAATGCATGTTCTACTGTACAAAAAAATACTGGATTAAAACTTAGCTGTAAGCTCTTTATCGTAGCATCAAAATTTTTCCCGCATAAATTTTGTTTGACACAATTTCTTCGCCTCACTTATAGCCATAAGAAATGCTCGGAAGGTGCGGTCAGCTGGCTCCCTTGGTGTTAGGCGTTTTTTTAAGACTCCTAGGAATCAGCGCAAATACGGTTCATCTGTCACTTCAGCCACCTTTAAGCTGAGTAATAAACCACTTAAATATGAAAGTTCAATCATTCTACCTGCATCCGGCACCAAAAAATCCATGAATTTATCACAAGTAAGCCGTTTTAACCTACCTTTATCGTTTTCAATTCAGTCTTTCAGCGGAAATTCAGACAAGAAAGCCGTTAATCATCCATCTTTCTATTTTAATGAGGACGATCTTGAGTCATTTAGCCAAACTAGTATAGTTTCGAATGCCACTCGCTCCAAAAATACCAGATCAAGACATAGCTGTAAGCTTTTGTCGTATCATCTTCAAGTATTGTTCCGCATGCGATTCGCTTCATTGTATAATGCTTGCTTAATTTTTTAGCCGTACAAAATCCTCCAAAAAGACGATCTACCATCTCTCTTGGTACCGGTCGGCTATTCAAGACTCCTGTAAGCTCAAATATTTTTTTTCTTACGTCCTTTCATTTTCAGTCTTTAGCCGGGGGTCCGGAATTAGGCTTGTCTAGCTGTCGTCCATCGTCTGCCTTGTCTGATAAGAATTTTCCTGTCTCCATAAGTAAGGATGAGTGTTCGCCAGGGCGCTATACGGTTTTAAGAACTGTGGAACTACAAAAAGGGCATTCAAAATCTCCATACATGACTCCGGGCCTCGCCATTGGAAAAGAGGATAATCATTTAGTCCGTCCTTCAATCGAAAACTTGAATACTCCCTGCCAATCCAAATTTTCGTGCTACTTGCTTGGCATATCAGATGGTAACACTTCCGATCATGTTTCAGGTAGATCTTTATCCTATATAGTTTTCATGTAATTTTCCTTAGGGTAGATGCTAGTTAATAATTTAAAGCAAACGGAATGATCTTCCTATTTACTCCTTTGTCATAGAACTTTGTTTCATTTTCAAGCGCTTATCCGAATTCATGTGCCATACATTCCTTTGATTTGTTTTGTATTTTTGAAATAATTCTGCTAAAAAGTACGCCTTATCGACATCCGCTATATGCGAATATCACGTCAAGTTCAC